GTTTTCCCAACGTGATTTTCACAATGTGATCTCAGTTTTACTAGTTTATAGCAACAAAAAGTAATGTGCCAAAAGATTAATGCACCAAGAAATGATCAGACAGTGGTTATCTCTTGAACATCATTAAATTACTAAGAATCTAAATGAATTATTATGTGACCTAGAACTAATATAATGATATGAGCAAGATGGTGGAAATTGTGAATTCTTACTTTTTTTGGCCTGCTGCATACTTGCAGTTGTATCCTTGGGCAAATTACTTCTGCTGTTTGAAGTTTTTTTTGTTTGTAAAATGAGAATAACCATGTTTAAACAGATTTGCAAAGTGTTTTCCTGAAACCTACTGTGTACCGTAACGATTTATGATTATGTTCAAAACTAAACCTTAGTTATCATTTTTTCATAGCAGTATATTATAAGGTTCTGTAATACAGTAATAACTTGTAATCACTGTGAGTGTGGGAAGGAGAGGGATGGTAACTGAATTTAAAATTTCTGCAAATTTATTCTTTAAGCTCCTTAAGCATACTTCACTTTATTTACTTCTGTTTTAGAGAAAAAGAAGCCTTAAGGTCATTTAGCTAACTTTGGAGAAGCAGCAACTCAGCTGACTCTTCCAAGTTCTCTCATATCCACATGCTGATTCATACTGCATTGTCATTGTTGAAGTGTACAGTGTTCCTAGCTGTTACAGAAGGCTACTTAACTGTCTGCATTTTAATATTGTTTTTAGGGGAGAAAACTGTTCCAGACCTTGGAAATAGATCAAAGACTAAAACTAATACTTACTTTAGGTGAGTAACACAAGTACAAAGCCATTTGTACCAAGCTCTCAAACAATTGGTGCTGTGTTAGCCAGTTTGCTCATGATGCTTAGGCTTCAACTATGGTGTTTTTGTGGGTAGAAACAGATGTTACTTTTGTGCTTCCATAAACATTTTTAGGCTGGGACAAAGACCAAGAAAACAGGTGCCCATGCCTCTTGTCACACCACAAATTACCAGAATTTGTGGCTGCAACCATAGGTGGTATCAGTATGTGCCACCCCATTGTGGCAAGCATCTGCTAGGTTTATGATGGGAGGGTGCAGTCTGCCCAGAGCTGCCCACTCTTCAGCCTTCTCAGGGCCCAATCCTGTACACCTTGGGAATTTCCCATGCAGGATTGGGCTCCTCAAGCCCTGGGAGTGCCTACCTGGCTTTCTCCTCTTACAAAGATGCTCCTTGGAGATTTTCCAGGGCACAAATCTTTGAGAGGAAAACCAGGGTTTTCCATCTGCATAGCTGTGCCCCAGGCAGATTCCGGGGGGAGGGGGGGGGCTGTAAGTGGGGAAAGCTGGGATTACCTTCCTGTAGAAACATGTTCCAGGTAGTCTCAGAGGCACATCTCTGAGTGGGGGGGTCATGCCTCTGGTTCTTCCACCAGACTGGGCCCCGGGACAGTGGGCAACCATTTTTTTTACCCAGTGAAGTGGATCAGCTGTGTCAGGACTCATCCCACCACAGCTAATCTGCTTTATTTGGCAACATCTGTCAAATAAATGAATATAAATGCTATCTGGGAACAGTCAGCGGGCAGTTAGGAGCTTCTCTTGAGGGGAAAAAGCAATAGCAGTAAGCTAGATACACAAAGCACAAGGATAGCCTGCTGATAGCATTAGGTAAAGACTGACTAGGTGGGCAAAGGGAAGCTTTGGCATAGAACATCAGTTATCCTGTGTTGTTTTGTGTGGTAGCTCCCTAGTGTGCTAGGTACCGTATCAACAGTTAGAGAAGACAGTATCTACCCGAATATGTTAGTATGCAAAATTCCAAACCTGGTATGAGCAAAACCAAGTAGTAAGATACAAAATCCAAGCAGAATTTTCAGGTATTAACAAATGCATCTCTTGCTGATTCCAGGCTTTTGCTGCTTATTGTTGTGTCCTTTTTGTAGCTAATATTACAGAAGTGTATTTTAGTTGTGATTTTAAAGAAGCAAGGCTAGACCAGTAATTTTTTTGGAATCCCATATGTGGTTTTTTTAATGAGACCCCCCCCACAGAAAAATGGTAGTACAGCAATAAATAGATATTTTATCTTAAAGTTAAATTATGGGTGTTTCCTAATTTGATGCTGTGGGTGTATGTTCTCTTTGTGCCAAGAGAAAAGCTTTTCTCCTGGTGTATGTTATGCCTATATGTGGCCATAACTAACTTCTGTTCAATGCAAACATCCTTTTTTATTCAGTAAACTGTTTCTTTCTAAAATTCTTGTTGTCTTGAATAGTTGCCTCATGACCATATATAATTCTCAGAAGAATTTAAGTTACCCATTTAATTTTAATCCTTTTATGATGTAGAATATTCAGCTGGATACTACCATCCATCACATTAATAATAATATACAGTCCAGGAAGCATTTTTTCAGTCTAGGAAGCAGCAAGTGGTAGTGAACCAGATTGTTAAGAGAGGAAGAGTTGTTTTCCACACAGATATGAAATTCCTGCACTTATCCTTGTAACAACAACTGTAAGGAGATGTGGCCTGGTACTTAGTGTTAAAGCATCAGGCAAAGGCTGAAGATCTAGATAGTTTCTTCCTGCAAAATGCTGCCTACACTAACTTAGGCCTATTATTTAATATCTTTGTGCTTCAGTTCTTGCTTGGTGTGTGGGGTTATACTTCCCTTCTCTGAGGACTATTGAAGTTATATACTTTCAGATGATATAATAACAAGTTCACCATAAAATCAGTCAATCTAAATAAAATGTGATTTAAGAAACAAGGTAGGAAATTTCTCTCTTTCTAGGCTCTATGTTTTGTACTGTTCTGTTTTGTAGGCTGTGTGGATGACATTGTAACCGTATTAGCTGAAGAACATGGCTGCCTGGACGTTATTAAGGTCTGTGGAACTCTTTTAGCCAGTGTTTTCCTAGCTAAAGCTGTTTTACATTTCGCAAAAATCAGCCTTTTATGGCTTTGTTGACTCAAAAAGATTTGTAACTTATCTCTTGGATCTTTTTAATATAATGATGATTAGGTAGGAGGTAGATTGAAATGTTCTATGCTGACAGTACCCAGACTTGATCCTTTCCCCAGATTATTTATAGTCCAAACTATTTGTAATTAGTTATAAGTACAAGCAGTCCTTGGACTTAGGACACAACTGGTTGCTAACAACCATGTCTTAAGTCGAAACGTCGTAACTTGGAACCCATTTTCCCATAGGAACAATGTTATAAATGGGGGATTGGTTCCTGAACCAAGGCTCAATACCTTATTTTCACCAAGAAGAACCAGAATTTTGTACTTGGTCAATTATAGATAATTAATATAGCTACATTAATGTATTTATATTGTAAATCGAAATCATATTGATTTGGAAGGACTTCTTTGAAGTGACTTTGCTGGACTTTTTGAAGGGTTCTTACCTAGAGTCTTGGCTACAGGTTTTTCTGGAGTCTTGTCTGCTTTCTTAAAGAAAGTATCCGAGGAAGTTTGGACAGATGTTTTCCAGGGAGATGGGCGATGCAGTGAACTTGTTTGCTGGCATGGCGTCAGATCAAGCATCATAAAGTTGAAACTGGATGTCAGTTTATAAATGTCATAAGTGCCATTCATTGTAACTCAAAATGTCTTAAGTCAAGGACTGCCTGTAACCAAATTATAAGTCCAAATAAATCTAAACATACATTTATTTCTCAATGTATTGGACTAGTGTAGCATCAGGTTTTGAAGGGTTGGTAGTTTTTTAACCTTTTCCTGGTTTAATGACCAATTTTTATCTGGCATTTCTTAATTATGAATGTATAATTATATAGTTGTCAGGCTTTCTAAAGTAATTTATAATTTTGGGTATCTCAATTCTGGGTGCCTGCATTTCAAAACTATACATAAGATTCTGACTTTCAGAACAGGCATCCCTAGCATCCTAAAGTTCTTAGAACTGAACAACCAAAATGTTTTGAAGAATTTGACATGAGTCTTCAGAAAGAATGTTCTAACCAAAAAATATATATCCTTCTTGCTGGAGTAGCCATAACTTTTTGAACTTCACCCAGCTAAGCCATTCAATATATGCAGTCCAGTGAACTTGAATAGAATAACTTGCATAGTTAGTTACACTGCTACTTTGGTAGCATGCTGGATGAAACCTGTAGTAAACAATCCTGAGGATTTTTCTTTTATAA